AATTCTAAATTAGAATTAGTTCAACTTCCCCAAATCCAGCTTTGAATTCTAAAAATTCTAAAAATTCTAAATTTGGAGCTTGCAAAAATTTAGAATTTTTAGAATTTTTAGAATTCAATTCTAAAAATTCTAAATTTGGAGGTGGGAAAAATTTAGAATTTTTAGAGTTTTTAGAATTCAATTCTAAAAATTCTAAAAATTCTAAATTAGAATTAGTTCAACTTCCCCAAATCCAGCTTTGAATTCTAAAAATTCTAAATTTGGAGCTTGGAAAAATTTAGAAATTCTAAATTTGGAGCTTGGAAAAATTTAGAATTTTTAGAATTGAATTCTAAAAATTCTAAATTTGGAGCTGGGAAAAATTTGGTATTTTTAGAATTTTTAGAATTGAATTCTAAAAATTCTAAATTTGGATCTTGGAAGAATTTAGAATTTTACGATTGAATTTTAAATTCACGTGACCCAAATTTAGAATTTTTACAAGGAAAACTGCGCGCGCCACATAGTACATGTTTTTCCCTCGTACGGGCCCCCCCCCCCTAAGTCTCCGTTCGTGACTCTCGGGTCTCAATTTCCGGGAAAGGAGCAGCCACCTCCCCCAGTACTAAACTAGTACTAAAGTACATAGAACTCAGGTAGCCTAGGCTACCTTTCGTGAAAACGCAACTCCAATCACCTGTCGGTCCATCAGTGGATTCGCTCTGCCATCCGTGATTCACAACAACCAACCTCTCCTATAGGATTCTTGTTTTTGAAACTTTCACCACCGCCTTGTGCGGTACTACTGGTATACATCACAAGTACATAATGAATATTGTCTATACATATATATATATATACTGTATATTGAATACATATGTATGTATGTATGTATGTATGTATGGATGGATGGATGGATGGATGTATGGATGTATGGATGTATGGATGTATGAATGTATGAATGTATGAATGTATGAATGTATGGATGTATGTATGGATGTATGTATGTATGTATCTATGTATCTATGTATCTATGTATCTATATATATATACGTGAAATGCATTGAACTACACACACAGGTACGCAAAATTGAAGGTACTGCATTCGTCGCAAACCTTGCAAGTGTCACTGAGGAGAAACCTGGGCCATTGTGGTTTCACCAGCTATGCATGTCCGGTGGGATCCACTATGGGTTTGCGCAAAAACGGGACATACCCCAAAGTCATGGGTTTGTCATCATATTTCCCATCGTAAAATAGAAAAAAACATGGGGTGTGCTGGTCAAACATGCCCATATTTCGAAGTTCAATGAAAATTGTTCTTTTGCTCAACTCATACCATCTGGTAAACTAACATAGCTATTGAAAATGACCATTTATAGTGGATTTTCCCATTGAAAATGGTGATTTTCCATTGTTATGTTAGTTTACCAGAGTGTACTTCACATCTGAAGACTTCAGCCTCGGAATGGCTGGACCAGAACTCCAGGAAGATCTTGCCACAGACCTGGACGCCGAAGGGCAGGTTTCCAGCCGACCGGTCTTCAAGGATGGGCACAGGTTTCAACCACCAAAATTCGTTGGTACCAACACCTGAGGATTCAAGATGATGCCTCACCTAAAATATGAATATTTAACATTATTTAACCACCAATGCTGCTTGGTATTCCCGAGAATTTCTAAAAGCATTTTTTAAAAAAAGTTCCATCATAGGACATCCATACAATTCCATGGATATCCTCTGTTTTCCCAGTACAACCTCCATTGAGTTCCGGAAAATCCTGCCGCCATGTTGATTAGGGCACAACTTGATCCCAATGGGGTACTAAGGCTCCCAGCATGCTGCATAGTGGCAGCCTTAGTCACCTCCTGGGGGGGAATTGCTGATGGTGTAGATAGTGATTTGTATATGTATATGTATATGTATATGTATATGTATATGTATATATCCTATATTCTATATTATATAATACATATTATATGTTATATATTATATATAATATACTATATCTCATATGGTATATATTATATATCATATATGATATATGAGATTTTATAATATCTTATATATAATATATCGTATATTATAGAATATTATATTAAATTAAATATTATATATTATATATTATACATTATAAATTATATATTATAATATGATAATATTATATAATATTAAATTATATTAAATTATATATATCTATTATATATGAAATATTTAATAATATATATTATAAAATTATATACTACAATATTGCATTATATTATATCTTATATTATATTATACTATATTATATTTCATATATTAAATTATATAGTATATATTACATATTATATGATATTACATATATATTGTATATGATAATTTATTTATCATATATTATATATTATTTATCATATATTGTATATTATTTATCATATATTATATATTTTATTATATATGAAATATAATACATCATATATTATATAGCATATTATATATCATATATTATATATTATATTATACATATATCATATATTATATATCATTCAATATATATTATATTATATTATATTATATTATATTGTATTGTATTATATTATTCTATATTATATTATAATATAATACAATAATATTATATATATATATATATTATTGTATTATATATTATTGTATTATATTATATTATATTATAATATATTATGATATATTATAATATATTATATATTATATATTATATATTATATAGTATATAGTATATATTATAGTATATATTGTTTATTGGTTGATGATTTATGGCAATTGATTTGTTTATCATATCATCATATATACATATGTATATATATATACAACATGTGTATAGTGCGTATGTAGATGACAGATTGGAGAGGTGAAAGCAGGGTGAAATGACCTGTGGCGGCTAAGCCGCTCGACATGCTGAAAAGAGGAGATACCAGGCAAATCCTTGAAATATATTGAAACTAATATTGACATATCTTCTTCCAAACCTGATTTTCGGGATTCCGGCTACAGTTTTCAAGAGGACAAAATGGATCCCAATGGACACCAAAGGTTCATGCCAGCACTGCCTTTTGACAGAATGTGGCGCACATGTGCAACCAAATATCGTGCGCTTATAGACTTCTCTAGATTTCATCATGTAGGTACACCCTGAAAATCAACAAACCCAAAAATGACCATTCACAAAATCCAACAAATCTGAATCATCATAAATTATAGGATCCTTTTCCGAACCGATGTTTTGGATTCCATGTTGGATTTCGCTTGTACAGCTGGAATCCTCCGGGTCGACGGGTCGTCCTGAGTGTCAGGAATGGAATAGACGCCACGAATGCCATTCTCCTGGTTGTGCCAATAGGGCTCAAACCTGTCGACGGCAGGGCCAGGGACAAATCGATGGTAAAGTTATGTAGAGCAAACAAAAATAAACTCAAGCGGCATTGTTGCAGTTTCAGATGTTTCAAGTAAATTTCAACGTTTCATTCGTTCAAAAGTTCACCCTCTGGCAATTTAACATAATTAACCAAGAAAAAAACAGCCCATTTACTTCGATGATTTACCTCTTAAACATAGTGATCTGTCATAGCTATCACACAAATTGCCGGAGAGTAAACTCGTTCGACGAGTTCGACCAGGGGATTGTGGTGACATCACCTGAAAAAGTATCTGGTGGAGAACAAATATCTTCATTTTTGTTGGGTGATGGGGAAAAATTGGGTATGTTATTCATTATATATATATATAAATATATTATATATATCCCATGAAATTCATTATATATATAAACCCCAATGATTATGGTGATGTTTAGATTCATTATGATTTATTTATCCCCATAATTAGGACATGTACCATCATTCACCAAGCCCTAAGGTCGGCAGAATTCATGAGGGCCCTATGGTCTGCAGCTGCGCAACTTCCGGCTAACATCCAGGAAGCGGAGCATGAGCATCGTAGCCCTGCAGCCGTGACGAATAAACAAAAATCTGAATGATTGGGTTAATCAGGTTAATAGTGGTTAATAGTGGTTAATAGTGGTTAATAGTGGTTAATAGTGGTCAATAGTGGTTAATAGTGGTCAATAGTGGTTAATAGTGGTCAATAGTGATTAATAGTGGTTAATAGTGATTAATAGTGGTTAATAGTGGTTAAGAGCGGCTAATTGCGGTTCATTGATGTAGTGATTAACCATACTAACGATTTTGAGCCATGATTCACCAGACTAACGATGGCCAGTGGCATTTAATAGTGGTTCATAGTGGCGAATAATTGCTAATCATAGTTCATAGTGGTTCAAAATGGCAATGGCAAATAAGAGTTAATGTGCCCAATGCCATAAACCATTCCAATAACAAACCATGAAAGAATATAAAAGATATTAAAAGATCATAAAAGGGGGATATGTTACATCATGCTGTGGGGGTATAAACCCTAGTATGAGTATCAAGGACTCCTCCATCCAGGGGGCTCATGGGTTTCCTAAGACGCAGATCAACAATTTTCAGCACTTGCGCATGTGCTAATGGTTAGGCACAGAATCATTGCTCGAAACTAATGCTATTCCTGACTGTTATAAACTGGAGTTCGGGTGAGTGACCCGCCAACCAGCTGCGAGATTGGCTCATTAAGTGGTTTTGTTTCAGGGTTCATATATTGCAAGCCCCAAAAGAACTTGGCATATCTTGGGCTCCCTTGGACTTTGGACAACCGCATTGGATGGATCTGATGCTTTGGTGGCATGGGATCACAAAAATATCATAGCCATCTGTGAATCTGCTCGAGAATTTGGCCAGGACGTCGGACTTTGTGCATATGAACTCTGACAAGATGCCGAAAATTACAACATGTAGAGAGTCAGAAACTTCATTTGTGATATATGATAAACAGTATAATTTAATTAATGCAGTAAAGCCAATGATGAAATATCATAAACCATCCCCAAGTCACCATTTTGGGTGGTATGTTTACCATCCCCATGTAGACTTATGGTAGCCAGGGTTTCCCACATCCCTAGGCTTCGGACCCAGTTGGAGTACTGTACTCATTGCGTGAATCCTGAGGGCGGCGACTCAACAGAAGAGGAGGAAAAACACAGACATAGTTTCACATAGATTCTATAGACACTTTGGATTGGATTGTTAGTTATGTTGGACACTTTAGAGTTTTCTTTTAGACTGTTTTGGTGTCCTCAACTTGGGTGCATCAAAGCCATTTGTCTCTTCTGAAAAATGATAGTCCGAGACCTGCAACCAGAAATTGTGACAGCAGAGGGTCGATATGTTCATAGATACCCGGTGACAAACAGTTTGCGAACCTACGCCAGCAATGGCCCATAGAAATTTCCTTTTGACTTACCGTTTTTTTAACATGGTGATTTTCCATAGAGCAAACTGTTCGTCATTACCAGAGGCTATCACTTTCATCGAGGAGATGGCCAGGTGTCCACAAATACCTTAGATTTGGTATACCTACTAGTGCCGCAGCAGCCAGCAGATTACAGCTCCAAGTAAGTGAGTAAGTATGTATGTAAAAAACTAAATAAGTATATATATATATATATATAAGTAAGCAAACAAGTAAGTAAGTATACGTGAATACTAGTCTCAGATATTTTCACTGATATGTCTAAGTTCTGTTGAATCTTATCCCCTTGTCCCATATTTTCGATTTCAACTTCCCCAAGTTAGCTTTAGTCCCACCAGGCCCCCCAAATGGCCATGAAACCCTACTACTTGGTGCTTTCAACCCCTCACAAGCGGAAAGGAGCTTAAGAAATACTGACAAAAAAAAACAGAAGAGTTTAATCCACCCACCAGATATACATTACTAGTTAATTCACTGTTCTTGTTGGATAATGCCAATGATTGATGTGTATAATCCCTACCACTTTTATGACTCGATCTCCATTACTATCAATGTGGTTGGGAAACTCACGATTAGTAGCTGCCTGAATTCACGCGTTCCCGACCTGTCACACTTGCCAGCTACTTGATGATGATGTGGTTGACATGATGATGTGGTTGACATGACGGTGGGAATGCTGCCCCTGACACTCGTCCGTAACTCGGAAGTTGTCTAACTAAATTTCCTTTGATAACCCTTACCTGAGAAGGGGGGGGACGAAAGCCAGCCCCCAAAGCAATGCTCATGGTTTTTTTTGTCTCTGCGCTGAAGTATCTCGAAGTAAAGGCGGTTGCTAGTTGTTAGCATTCCACGATACTTTCGTCCAGATCAGCTCCAGCTCGGCCGTTTTAGGCCAAATCCTGGCCAGGAGCCTTTTGGAGCCAGATCCAGAGCAGAAACCTGTTGGAAGCAATTTTCTGCCATTTGGCGGCCATTCGGCCGGCTATTGCATTTCGCTTTTGGGAAGAACGGGAAACGGCTACATATACAATTTTAGAATCACAGCAAGCAAACAGAAGCTATGACCCAGCATTGTGAAGCTAAAAACACATAGACCCTTTTACACACAGACCCTTGCAGACTACACACAAACGCTTTTACACACAGACACTTTTTTACTTCGACACACAGATGCTTTTACACACAGACCCTTTTACAAGAGCTTTACACAGAAACACGTTGACACAGAGACGCTTTTACAGACAAACAGCTTCACACAGACACACAGACGCTTTCACACACAGACCCGTGCACGCAGGGACAGCTTTACACACAGACGCTTTTACACATAGACCCTTTGACACACAGACCCTTGCACACACAGACGCCGTGAGACATAGACGCTTTTTTCGCACAGACACTTTTTGACACATAAACATCTTGACACAGAAATGCTTTTACACAGAGACCTTTCTACACACAGACACTTTTACACAGAAACCTTTTTACACACCGACCCTTTTACGCATACACAAAATGTTGCACACAAACCCTTTTACACACAGGCGCTTTTACACACAAACACTATACGCTTTTACACACAAAGGCTTTTACATACAGACCTTTTTACACACAAACATCCTTACACCGAAAGGCTTTTACACAGAGTCGTAGTAGCACACAGACTGTTGGACACACAAACATCTTGACACAGAAATGCTTTTACACGCAGACCTTTTTACACACAGACACTTTTAAACACGAACCTTTTTACACACGGACCCTTTTACGCATACACAGAATGTTGCAAACAGACCCTTTTACACACAGACGCTTTTACACACAAACACTTTTACATACATACGCTTTGACACACAGAGGCTTTTACACACAGAAGCTTTTACACAGAGACCCTTTTACACACAGAAGCTTTGACACACAGACCCTTGTACACACACAGATATATCTACAGAGAAACGCTTTTACACAGAGACGCTTTTACATAGAAACATCTTCACACAGAGACGTTGCGGCATGTTTTTTTTACCTTCATTTGTAAAGCCGAAAAATGGTCAAATAGTTAGTGTTTTCGTGTTTTTTGAACAGTCTCGGAGCAAAAAACTCCGAAAAAAAGAACCGTGTTTTCTGACGCCTCGCAAGCCCGGAGCCTTTTGGAGCCAGCTTGTGGGACTTTCGCGGCTTGCGGGCCGGCAACTAAAAGGGCCTTCTGGGATCAAGGGGAAACGGCCATTTTTAGCCAAATCCTGGCCGAAGCCTTTTGGAGCCAGCTTTTAAGACTTTCGCGGCTTGCGGGCCGGCAACGAAAAGTGCCTTCTGGGCTCAAGGGGAAACGGCCGTTTTAGGCCAAATCCTGGCCAGGAGCCTTTTGGAGCCAGATCCAGAGCAGAAACCTGTTGGAAGCAATTTTCTGCCATTTGGCGGCCATTCGGCCGGCTATTGCATTTCGCTTTTGGGAAGAACGGGAAACGGCTACATATACAATTTTAGAACGAACAGCAAGCAAACGGAAGCTATGACCCAGCATTGTGAAGCTAAAAACACATAGACCCTTTTACGCACAGACCCTTGCAGACTACACACAAACGTTTTTACACACACAAACGCTTTTACACACAGACACTTTTTTACTTCGACACACAGATGCTTTTACACACAGACCCTTTTACAAGAGCTTTACACAGAAACACGTTGACACAGAGACGCTTTTACAGACAAACAGCTTCACACAGACACGCTTGTACACACAGACGCTTTTACACACAGACCCGTGTACGCAGGGACAGCTTTACACACAGACGCTTTTGACACACAAACATCTTGACACAGAAATGCTTTTACACAGAGACCTTTTTACACACAGACACGTTTAAACAGAAACCTTTCTACACACCGACCCTTTTACGCATACACAGAATGTTGCACACAGACCCTTTTACACACAGACGCTGTTACACACAAACACTTTTACACACATACGCTTTCACACACAGAGGCTTTTACATACAGACCTTTTTACACACAAACATCTTTACACAGAAAGGCTTTTACACAGAGTCGTAGTAGCACACAGACTGTTGGACACACAAACATCTTGACACAGAAATGCTTTTACACGCAGACCTTTTTACACACAGACACTTTTAAACACGAACCTTTTTACACACCGACCCTTTTACGCATACACAGAATGTTGCAAACAGACCCTTTTACACACAGACGCTTTTACACACAAACACTTTTACATACATACGCTTTGACACACAGAGGCTTTTACACACAGAAGCTTTTACACAGAGACCCTTTTACACACAGAAGCTTGTACACACAGAGCCTTGTACACACAGATATATCTACAGAGAAACGCTTTTACACAGAGACGCTTTTACATAGAAACATCTTCACACAGAGACGTTGCGGCATGTTTTTTTTACCTTCATTTGTAAAGCCGAAAAATGGTCAAATAGTTGGTGTTTTCGTGTTTTTTGAACAGTCTCGGAGCAAAAAACTCCTAAAAAAAAAACGTGTTTTTTGACGCCTCGCAAGCCCAAAACCACGGTAGTTGCGGTGTTTTTTTGCTCCTGGAACCAAAAACCACGGTGTTTACAGTGTTTTATGGCCAGAACCTAGCAAAAACAGTGGTATTTACGCAGTTTTCAGCATGTTGCAAGACGTACTTTTGCCAGGCCAAACGCACAAAAACACCGTAAATTACAGTGTTTCGGCATTTGAAACCCGATGAAAACCGTCAAGAACCACCAACAAGGTAAAGCCGAAAAATGGTCAAATAGGTGGTGTTTTCGTGTTTTTTGAACATTCTCGGAGCAAAAAACTCCGTAAAAACCGTGTTTTTTTGACGCCTCGCAAGCCCAAAACCACGGTATTTGCGGTGTTTTTTGCTCCTAGAACCAAAAACCACGGTATTTACAGTGTTTTATGGCCAGAACCTAGCAAAAACAGTGGTATTTACGCAGTTTTCAGCATGTTGCAAGACGTACTTTTGCCAGGCCAAACGCACAAAAACACCGTAAATTACAGTGTTTCGGCGTTTGAAACCCGATGAAAACCGTCGAAAACCACCAACAAGTGTCCAAAATGGAGCATCTCGTTCGGGCCCAAAAAACCAGGCAAACGGCAGGTCGGTTTTTGAGCTCTCCCCAGCCAGGCTCCGGCCTCACCTTTCAAAAACGGACCGATTTCGGGCCTCCCCCCCCCCACACCCCCTAGATTAGCTTCGCTTCGCTTCGCTTATACCTATACTCAAGCCCAGGCCTTCGGCTGGCTTTCGTGATATAGCCCATTTCTATATCCCACTAATATACATCTATATCCCCATGTTTTTTCATACCACTCCACTCCAAGGGTCCGTGGTCTTGAAGGCAATAATCACCGGTGCCACCGCCTCTTGCATCTTGGTGGTGAGACCTGACTACGTCAAGAGCAACACGCATCCGCGCTGCAAGGAGATCCAGTGGACGTTTCTGTGTGAAAAGTTCATCTTTGTGCTTCAAGGAAAAGATGGGAATGTCGAACATTATAGGTAGATAGATAGATAGAAAGACAGATATATATATATATACAGATATTGATATATATATATAGATAGATAGATAGATAGATAGATAGATAGATAGATAGATAGATAGATAGATAGATAGATAGATAGATAGATAGATAGATAGATAGATAGATAGATAGATAGATTAGATAGATAGATAGATAGATAGATAGATGAGATAGATGATAGATAGATGGATGGATGGATGGATGGATGATAGATAGATAGATGGAGTAGATAGATTAGATAGAATTAGATTAGATTAGATTAGATTAGATTAGAATTAGATTAGATTTAGATTAGATTAGATTAGATTAGATAGATAGAGATAGATAGATAGATAGATAGATAGATAAAATGAATACATACATATATATATATATATTTATGCATATCAATGAGAAAAAATGAGAAGCATCATATATCTACATCACTTATGCATCGCCTTTTAAACATCTGTTTTTTGAGTGAAGGAAAACATGGGCCAGAAAGATAAATTTGGGAAAGTTTGCCAAGCAAAATGTGTGTCGACATGAGAAAATGGGCTAATGAACATGCGAAAATTGGACAAAATTGCCTCATGAGAATGAAGAATTGAGCGGGCAATGGATTTATGATGATTAATGATGATGATTGATGGTGGTTAATGAGTTAGCCTGAAGCATGGGAATTGAAGCTAAAACCGTGGTAACCAGAATGATCTCTTCTGAGCTGAAAAGGTATCCGAATAAACCCAACAATGAAGGGATATATTAAATGAATATTGGGATGCGATCCACACAGACTGGATGGTTAGTAAGTCATAGGTGTGTATTTTCTTATGTACATATGTATATATATATATGTATATATATATATGTATATATATATATATGTATATATGTATATATATGTATATATATATATATATATATATGTATATATATACATTATAGAATATAAATAAACAGAAAGTCTTGCCAACAACCCGGGCGGTTGATGCCACCAGTGGAACCTGTGGAAGCCTTTGCATTTGCGCCAATGACCAGTTCCAAGTGGGGAGATGTGTGTACATTACGTTACGTTACGTTACGTTACGTTATGTCACGTTACATACCATACCATACCATACCGTATCATACCATACCATACCGTATCATACCATACCATACCATACCATACCATACAGTTACCATACCATACCATACCATACCATACCATACCGTACCGTACCATACCATACCATACCATACATACACACACAGACAGACATACATTACATTGCATTGCATTACATTGCATTACATTACATTACATTAGACCACATTAATTACATTACATTACATTACATTACATTGCATTGCATTGCATTGCATTACATTACATTACATTACATTACATTACATTACATACATACATACATACATACATACATACATACATACATTACATATATGTTATGATCATACAGAACAATATAGAACAACATAATATATACATATCATACGAAGCCCGTTGGGCCCCGGCTCACAACCGCGCTGGCCATGGCTGGAGGATCCACAAAGTTCACCTTCCCAGCTTCGTGGTAAAACCTGGTGGGCGCCGGTTTTACCATGGTGAAACAGGGCGAAGCACTGGTGATTGTAGAATCATAGCTATAATATGGTTTAATTAATATGGATTAATATGGATTAATGTGGATTAATGTGGATTAATATGGATTAATGTGGATTAATGTGGATTAATATGGATTAATGTGGATTAATATGGATTAATATGGATTAATGTGGATTAATGTGGATTAATATGGATTAATATGGATTTAATGTGGATTAATATGGATTAATATGGATTTAATGTGGATTAATATGGATTAATATGGATTAATGTGGATTAAAACGGATTAATGTGGATTAATATGGACTAATATGGATTAATGTGGATTAATATGGATTAATATGGATTAATGTGGATTAATATGGATTAATGTGGATTAATGTGGATTAATATGGATTAATATGGATTTAATGTGGATTAATGTGGATTAATATGGATTAATATGGATTTAATGTGGATTAAAACGGATTAATGTGGATTAATATGGACTAATATGGATTAATGTGGATTAATATGGACTAATATGGATTAATGTGGATTAATATGGATTAATACGGATTAATGTGGATTAATATGGATTAATATGGATTAATGTGGATTAATATGGATTAATATGGATTAATGTGGATTAATGTGGATTAATATGGATTTAATGTGGATCAATATGGGCTAATATGGATTAATGTGGATTAATGTGGATTAATATGGATTAATATGGATTAATGTGGATTAATATGGATTAATATGGATTTAATGTGGATTAATGTGGATTAACATGGATTAATGTGGATTAATGTGGATTAATGTGCTTTGTATGCCAACATCCAATCAGTTCCACTCATATTCTGAAAATGTCGAAGTATGAAGTCCATTTTTCACCGCTGGTTTGTTCAAAGATCATGTCCCGCCGGTCCGAGGCACTTGGTTTGGCCGGCAGAGTAGATGCCCCAGCACAGCTTCAGATTGGGCGCTGCCTTGGAGTTTCCCGTTTTTCGGAAAGGTCGGCGCTTCTGGAGATTTTGATCGGAAGATTTTGAAGTCTAAAATACCCTCTGGTAAACTAACATAGCTATGGAAAATCACCATTTTTGATGGGAAAATCCACTATAAATGGCCATTTTCAATAGCTATATATGTTAGTTTACCAGAGGGTATCTACTGCATCACAATCATCTGATCATTCCATAGGATAATTCTTGAAGGTATGGTGTGTTCCACCCAACAGAACAACACTTTTTGAACCAGTCCCTGAGCCACGGCTGAGAATGGAATCCTGGATCACCAATCATAGCACCAGAATGGGGAAACATACAGTACCCTCCGGTAAACTAACAAAAAGCTATTGAAAATGGCCATTTATAGTGGATTTTCCCATTGAAAATGGTGATTTTCCATAGCTATGTTAGTTTACCAGAGGGTATCCCATGTTTCCCATTGAAATATCCATGTTAAAGGTAAAGGTGAAACATTGGATTTGTGGGTGCCCTTTTTTTTGGCCCAATCACCAACCTTTCAGAGACAAGCAATATCCTAGGGAAAGAAGATGAAAGAACCAATGACCAGGTCGAAGCCAGGTCGAAGCCAGGTCGAAGCCATGTCGAAGCCATCCCAAGCCGTCGCCAACCAAGATGCTGTAATTCCTTTAATCTCCTCATTGGTCTCCAGCTTGTTTCGCCTCCCAGACTCGGCTTGGGGAGCGATGGGCTGATTCCCTTGATCCCATCCCCCTAGTCCTGGTCCCGGGGGAAGGGATTACTCCAATGCCTTGTTGGTGGTTTCAAACTCCAAAAATACGCTCATCAGCTAGGATCATCATCCCATTTCTAGGATTGAAAATACAAAATAACCAGTTGGCGAATGGTCAATATAATATGTATATATTTATATATATATATATATATATTTTATATATTATATATATATACACATATATGCTACCGTAAATGGACAAAATATTCAAACCCCTTGTATCCGGTACAACAGCATCGCCCCCAAAGTTCAATGTTAATGTAACCTGAAGTGCATCATATAGAATCAAACCCCTAACATCACTTTTGGTCACACGCACGCTGAAACATTGAGATTTGGGGGTGCGGGGGTTCAACATAGTGCGTGTTGCAGGGTTTGAATATGTTATCCATCTACTGTAGTATGTGTGATATAAATGTGTATATAAATATATATACATAGAAACAAGAAAGATAGTTATATATACGATATATCTATAAGTATATAATTATATAGTTTCAAGAGTTGAAACGATTCAACACTTGGGGTGATTCCCCCATCCTATAAATCGGCGCTTCGCCTTGTCCAGTGTCCCTTGGAGTCAGTGAAAGTGAAGGGCGAAGTGGTGAAGTAAAACTCGCCCTGGGCGGATGGAACCAAGCACCAACGGGGCTTGAAGTAGCCCCAAAAATCTGGCAATTTTAGGGAGGAAACGATGATAGTCGATGGGATCTGGGGCTGTCCTATTTTTGGAAGAAGCCATACATATACGTATGTATCTATAAATATATATAAATATATAAGAACATGATGACATATACTAAAATTGCAGTGTAGTAGGGAATATGTACTCATTCAATTCATGGTTTTTCGGATGTTTTGGGGATATAGAACCAACATGAAGCAACCTTATGATATTTTATCGGGTTGTCCAGAAATGGGCAACCCCAAAGGGGATATACTATGATATACTGCTATCTTCATGGGGAGTTTTTGAAGACTTGGAGAACATCCCAGAAAAGGATGGCAAATTGGACATACCAACTGTGGAACCATGGAGTTTCAGCCCTAACACCAGCTATACGTTTTTTTTTACTCAAAGGTTAAGTTGGTGCTACAAAGTCTTGTGGCATGATGTGTATAGCATTCCGTTTAGGTTCCACAAAGTTTCATTTGTTCCTCACTTGACTCGGTCAGCGTCACCTTTGAGTGTGATCCGAACAGTGAATCACCATTTCAGATGCCGTGTCAAACACCAAAGCAAGGGGAACCTCTTCCAACGTTCCTTGTACTTCCTCTGTCAACATCCTGTTCAGCCGTTAATGGCTACTTGACGACCAAACAGTGATGTTTAATCCCCAATGCCAGTCACAATTTTCTTGGGTCTCACTATATCTACAAATACAAATATGTATAAATATGTATAATATTGTAATGTATATATATACATTACATACACATGTAATTCATGTAATCATATGCTATTTTTTGCATGAATATGTAATAAGTGATAGAAATTTACCCTCTGGTAAACTAACATAACTATGGAAAATCACAATTTTTAATGGGAAAATCCACTATAAATGGCCATTTGCAATAGCTATGTTAGTTTACCAGAGGGTAATCCCTTTGATCCCCTGGCCCTTCGTTGGAGCCAAGGAGCATCAGCAGCAGTTGGGACCCAGCCCTGCGGGATAGTCATCCTTGACGGATCATACGGGGGATGGGCCAGCGAAATCCTGGATGATAGGTGGTAAACATGCCATGATTTATAGGGTTATACCTCCAATAACTATGGTTTATCACCACCCAATTGTGGGAACATCTGCAGCAATCAGTTGAAGTTGGTTCCAACTCCTGACCCAAAAACCGCCTCAATGGAAGAAGAGTTTGCGAAAGATTGGCCACAGATGGTTTAAGGTGATATATATATATAGTTAATGGATGTTAATGGGGTTTATAAACCAATTTATTGGGTGTCAACCATCGGTGATGCAGGGTTTCGCAACCATGTGGATAGTACGTATTTATAACTAGGCTAAATAGGATCGGGGGTATAAACCAACAAACAGAACTGAGGGACCGTCCTGAAATGTCCTGAAGAACATGGTTCAAATTTTGGGTACAGTACCTGTTTGGATCCAAAGAAAAGCTGAACATGTTTGGTATGAGACCATCTATTTTTTGAGGTGGTCAATAGCGTTTAGCTATAGCCATATCCTGCAATATGGGTCTCACATTTCATTTGGCATCCTCTTCGATTTATGCTGGATTTATGGCGACATTGTGGCGTCCACCAACCTATAGAAGTGGTTTCAGTTCAACAAGTGTGTTCAGCCAAGGGCACAAGGATCACAAGGTGAAACTGTGCTTACAAAAAGGAAAACACCGTGATCGAAAAGTGTTGGTGGCTAGTCGGCCAATTTGAAACCTTTCTGAGTGGATCTAATTCTACATGGTGTGACAGTCTGACCTACACAACCCAATCAGTGACTCCATGAGTCGTCACTAGTCTGCAACTTGCCCTTGCCAATGATGGCGCGACATTGAATGTAACACTCTCTGATTCTTCAAAGAGGAATTGTCATCGACTTTCTTTGTATTTTTCTTTGTGCATCACTGTCGGGATAGCTCGAGAATAACAATTGATTTCACAAACACCAATTGTAAATTGAGAGTATGGGATTAGTGTGTGCGCAAGCATTTGCAAACAGCAACAACCACCACAACCACAACAACAACAACCACCACAACCACAACCACAACCACAACCACAACAACCACAACCACAACCACAACCACAACAACCACAACCTTGATTCATGTCATCACGTTCGATCCCCAAGTTCGTTGAATACTCTGAGTTCGAAGCTGATCGTAGTTGGGTGTTGACATCACCTCAGGCGGAGAAGCCGCTTCCTGGATGGGGTTAGCCATGGAATATCCCACCATTTCCCAGTGATTTCCCTATGATTTTCGAGGTAAAATCCCCGTCTGTATGTTATATACCCAATGTATAGTTTATCATCTGGTTATTTAACATAGCCATGGAAAATGGTCCATTTATAGATGATTTTCCCATTAAAACCTCCATTTATAATCATTTATAAGGGATTTTCCATGGCTATGTTAGTCATAACCAGATGGTAGTTGATCTATATCAGTCGATTCGTCGTGTTCCCTATATCTGTCCACGTCCCTTCCGTCCCGTCGTCCACCAGGAGTCCGCACCCGATGACCCACTTGATATGTCTGAATTGGACCCTGAGCACGGCAGAGACATCGAGGATTTTTAAAAAGCGCAATCTAAGGATTTGGAATGCAACCCCCCAATAGACTCTTGGTATACTGGTTGGTGGTATACCTACCCCTCTGAAAAATATGAATGTCAATGGGAAGGATGACATCCCATAATGGAAAATAAAAAATGTTCCAAACCACCAAGCAGTATACTATTGGTAAGTGAAAATGGTCTTGAAAATCATCCAGCAGATGTGAATCTTGGATGTTCTGCATATGTTCTGCTAGGCTGCAATAGGCTGCAATGCCACCAAGAGGCATTGGTGTAGGTATCCTGAAACTCGAACCTGTGTAGCGGCTGTAAACTGCGACCAATGAGGTGAGTCAGCATCGACCAACACAACGTTTTTTAACGATCACAGTCTGAAGTCAACAGCAAGTCACCTGGATTAGTCCGAAATGAGTCCTTTGTTTATCCGAATTGAACGATTTATGTCCATTTATCATTATAATCATCACATGCTGCAAAATGGACATAGAAATGTGTGCTTACGTGGCTTACTTAGAACATAATCCCAATTACTATAGTAAGTGTGTTGAACTGCATGGTTAATATAACCTTGGTGAGTATGTCCCCCGACTGGGGTTCTCATAGTTACCCTCCGGCAATTCACTCGGGTGCTGTGGAAAATCACCATGTTCCATTCTCCTTCATAGATAAATCATCGAACTAAATGGGCCATAATATATATATATATATACCATATATATATACCACATATATATATACCATATATATATATATACCATATATATATATACCATATATATATACCATATATATATATACCATATATATACCATATATATATATACCATATATATACCATATATATATATACTTCATGTCATTACCTGAGGGTATCCCATCTCCAGTGAATAACCAGGCCCACTGATGCAGGGCCAAGGGACACCCCTGCCAATTTGTTGGCTTCAAAGCGTTCGATGGCCGAGACCGAGTTGATGTCCTCAATGGGGATACTTGGATGTCTGCGCCCCAGTTCGGAAGTGGCTCGTAACCCAAAGAGAGCTCATATACATATATAAGTGTTGATATTCCATTATAATATATGTATGTATATTATATATATTATACTACGTATCTATACATATATATATATATCTGCTGATATTCCAAATATGTATATATATATGTGTATATATATATATGTGTGTATATGTATATATATATATGTGTATATATGTATGTGTATATATATATATACACATATTATACGAATTTAATAATATATACACCCAAAAACATCACCCTAAAACGGTCTCCCACGGTCCCACGGTCCTTTCCGTTCACGATGATCCGCTCAAGGTCCAGCCTGATCCGTCCAGAGAAACAGCCAGGGAGGTTTTTTCAGTGCTGGTGATGCTGGTGACTATCATCATTAGTATCACTGGATTGGTTTAAGGGAAAATTTACAGGGAACCATGGTTTTTCGCATGAAATCTAGGGCTTTCCTGTAAATTTTCCCATCATCCAATTCTATGATAGTATCATTAGTATTTCAGAAAAGTATCATTAATGATCATTAATGGCTGTGTTGCTACACTTGAGATGGTGATCCAGAAGATTCTTTTTGGTGACCAACATGTGGCCAACCAGCTGTGTGTCTGCTATACTGCTGGTAGAAGGATCCCACAGATGTGGTTCGGGCAGCAAGACGGCTTCCGATCAAAAATGGGTGATCTGCAATTCTGGGGACATACTTTGGGTTTGCATGCCAGCTACTGAGTGCTTAATGACATGACTACAACATACTACAACCTAGCTATGTACGACATAATCGAGGGTTCTCAACCAGTTCTTGCGTTGGAAGCAAGTATATGTATAAACAAAAGGCAACAACATACACAAGTTAGCACAACCAAAGATTCCCCCGTAAAAAATCATGCTTTAATGTTGCTGGATTAAGTCTTGCGTTGACAAGGCTGCGAATTTTTCGGCGTGTTTTGCTACAACTTCCCCGAGCAAAACATCCAACGAGCGACGTGATGATGTCAGCGCCAAACTCCGGGTCTGACCCCAAGTGCTGAGAGATGTCGCCCTTGGCGCGGCTGGTAGATCAAGCGTGATACCAATGAGATATGATGATATGATGGGATAATAACATATAGTGACATATAATAACATGTAATTACAGTATAATAACATGTAATAACATATAGTAATATAGTATCATATAATAACATGTAATAACAGTAAGATATGATAACATATAATAACTATAACTGACTATAACCCATAACGGTGATACAATATGGCATGCGAATATATTGTGGGTCAACATGACCACCTAAAACTGGGCTTCGACCTACATCTCTGCAGGAATGTCACCATCTTAGAAAAGATGACCCTCATGAAATGCCAAACCCACCGAAGACCATCAAAATATATGGCAGTGTGTCAAAACCTTGTACCCCTGGTGAACCCCAAAATAGCTGGTAAATGGATGTTCATCCCACTAAAAATGGTATTAATAGGTATTGATCCATACCCATATATCAAAATAATCAAAACAACAAACTTCCGGATCCCAGCTGAAACAGGGATCAAGGCTGAAAAATCCCGTATTATAGGGCCATGTGCAGCTCCAGGCACTGTAAATCTCAAGGTGCTGGAGGTTTGTTGAATGTCCACCTGCGGGCGCCATTTCAGTAACCTGTGCATGTTTTTTTTTCATAGTGAATCATCCGACCAGAAAAGGATTGTGGTCCAACTACCCCCAACTGGAATGATTCTGGAATTCAGTTTAACACATTGAAAAAACATGAAAAAACCATACCTCAGGATCCAAAAAAACAACCAGACTCTTGCTGGTTTCAGCGCACCATAAACGAATCAGGGTGCTTCAACCAGTAGCCAAGTTCCGAAACGAGCATTCGGGTCCGGAGTTCCCTGACCTATGCCCATCTTGGAACATCTTGGAACCATGTGCGATATAGAAAACGGAACCCGGTGAAGATGTTCCTGAATTTCAATATCTTATATACCACAAGCTTACCAGTACCATTTCACCAATTTCGGTCAATTGGGAAAAAAACGATCCTACCCTTCCACCATTTAGATCCATTTAGACTTCTTGGTTTGCCCGACTGACTTCACATTGGGCACGGCTGCGCATGGCTGCGCACCCGATCGATGAAAATGCCGACACCAGGGCTGCTGGAGGTCAAAACGGATGTCATGATCGACTCGGATGTGGTTGCTTGCCTGCCAGCAAAACGCCTGGGGTGAAAAACCTGCGGTGATTAGATTCAAATGAATGATGTCGTTTCTTGGGTGCCAAATGTAATTCCAAATGTAACACAGGGTGTCAAAAATGATGTTATAATTGTCATCACTATGAATCAAGCATTATGAACATTTCACAGCAAACATACCATGTCTGGATGCAAACCAAGGATCCTTTCTCTTTTTCACTTGCTTCGTGAAGAGATCTATATGTGCACTGTTGAAATCTGTTTGAAGCTTGAACTGAAGTTCCCTTCGGCAGGAACCATCTATATATATATATATACACTTTCTCCTTGCAACATGTTGCAACTCCTTTGTACAAGTAGTCGTTTCCCATACAACTTCAAAGTCTTCTCAGATCGTCCCATTTACACATTGATCTATGGGCGCCATGTCTAGAGAACCAACTCGTTGACGGCCGTTGACGCCTGCAGCCCTGACCGTTGATGGCCGGACAATCGACTTTGAAGTTGATGTCGCTGTCAGGGTTGTTTGGATTCTGGGCAGTGCCTCCGATTGGAAGTGGAGATGTTGATTCTAATGGGTTGGTTTAGGGGGAAACGGTCTATAGGAAACCCTCGATTTACCAACCACATATAGATAACTATAGATACTATAGGGGGTTCCTGCAATTCTGGGATGATTGGTTTGATAGGTCAACTTTGGCAAACCAGCCAACTTCAAGCAAATGTGACTTATAGTTTGGTTTCATTGAAATTGCCTGTGTCTGCGTGGCACTCCGTGATGAAATCCTGTAAATATATATATATATTATATATATATTATATTATATATATTATATATATTATATATTATATATATTATATATATTATATATATTATATATATATATTATATATATTATATATATATTATATATTATATATTTTATATATATTATATATATTATATATATTATATATATATTATATATATTATATATATTATATATATTATATATATTATATATTATATTATATATATATATTATATTATATATATATTATATATTATATATATTATATATATTATATATATATTATATATATTATATATAATATATACATATATTATATATATTATATATAATATATACATATATTATATATATTATATTATATATATATATATTATATTATATATAAATATATATATATATATCAAAGCTAATTAATGCTAATTATGGATGAAACTCAAGAATCGAAAACTTCAAGACCATCTGGCGTCGCCTGAACATTCCGCATTCGCTGGGATGATTCGCAAGCGATCATCCGGACCTGGCAGATTCTTCCTTGGAGACTGCCTGCTGTCGATTTCCGAGATTTTACGATGGCTGAATGCTTTTTGGGTGTACTGCAAGGTGCAGAACTGCAACGTACCGATCTTCTTGTGCATGTGTGTGTGTGTTGTACTCGATCTCAAAATCTGGGACAACAAAACTCTATGGCGTCGCAACTCTTTCCTTTGAAGCATTGACCCCCCGAAAGAGAATGCCACAGCATCGGAAAAACAAGTACCAAAATATCTCCAAATATCCCTGCGCAAATTATTGACTTGATCTTACTTGGTCAACCTTGATCAGACATGTCTGGCTCCATTGGTACATGGCTAGCTACCCCATGATTGAAAAAGGTTGAAACCAAACACCATGGGTCATCCCAGCACCACTGCACCTCACTTTAAAGGTGTCCCTCCCATTCCCGCAGCAAACATGCCAGGCATGGACTGAATCCCCATCCCTTCAGATCAAACTTCACCACCTGGCATCGTTTCTGGTCCTATGTCGTGAAGAGCGTGGGTGGCCTCTCCATGGGCTTGGGCATTCTGTATTCGGCTCCAGATTTCACCACCAAGACGCGCAAGCGGCTTCGGAGCCATGCGCAACATCAGTAACATGTAAGCACTATAATACTACAAGTTTGACTGTACTGTAAGTAAAATGTAAGAAACTATAAGTAACATATATATATATGGTAACATAATGTACTACAAGTACTAATAAGTACTATGACTATAAGTAACATAAGGAACATAAGTAACATCTAAGGATTCTAAGTATTATAAGTGCATATCACAAATCATCCATTCTCCACTCCAGTTCTTCATCTCGTCGCCAGGGCTCCCCACCACATTGGTCGGGAAAATGAAGGTCTTGCCACCTGTGCCCGTGCTTGCCATGTCCAAAAATGGGGTCCACCTTTTGAAAAATATGCAATGTTAAGAAGGAACAAGAAGGGTACAAAGATAAAACGATAAACCATGATAAACCTATCCAGCAATTTCTCAGGTGATCCAACTATCATCAACTGGCAGTGTGTCAAAACCAATAGTACCCCTTTTTTGTTCACATCAAAATAGCTGGGATTTCTGGATGTTCATCCCACTAAAAATGGTATTTTCATAGGTATTGATCCATACCCATCCATACCCAACGATCCAACATCCGTCCACGGTGACACCTTCGGGTCCCTGGATGGTCATCAGCCCTGCAAAGAGCCAATTCAGCGAGCTCTCGCACTCGTTCTGACGGCCGGGTCGTTTTTCATAGGGACGGGAGATGGAGATGTCGATGGGGGAGATGGGGGGAAACCTGGATCCAAATGGTTAAAAACATGTTAAAAACATGAGCATTTCTCGTTGTTAAGAATCATTGAAGGGCACCTTCAAAAAATGTGGAACAACACGTGCTGTCAAAGTTATAACCACATGTCTGACCCATATCAAGGGAGCAGTGGAACCAAAAGCTATTGGAAAATTCAAATAGCTACAGTACTGTTTGGTTAGCGGGGATTGCCACTTCATGGATTATGACAATCCATGACAAATATGTCAGCTTTTGCCGCCTTCAATATGCTCAAGAATCATCAACCAACTTGATTTTGAAAATCGTGTAGCCCTAAACTACATAAAGCCAATGGTTCATTCCTCATTTTCCCCAAACAAACGATCAAAAATGGCTATCATTGGAGCTATACCCCATTTCCCCAATGCTTCATTCCTCATTTTCCCGTCGGCCTCGGCCGACACCATGCCGCAGTAGCAAATGGCCACCACCTCGGCAAGAGAGGAGCATCTATGGTGCCGCCTCCCTTCGATAGTCTTTGTAGATGATAAAGGAATATGGATGGATACCTGGAAAGAGAAATAGATGAAATAGGCATATAAATACAAAGATAAATAGAAAAAAATAGGCATATGCATGTGTACAGTATATGTACAGTACATACGCGTGTGTATTTAGATCTTTGGACACAAAACTCAAAGAAACTGATACAGTACACTGTACACCTTAATACTGCCTATCATTATGTACCAAAGATCATAAGTATTCATAAGTCCTATGTACAGTATGTCATACAACTGATATGTTTTTTTGGCTCAATCACTGGGTCTCAGTGAAGATAATCAGAAAAATGGATAGAAATGGTGGGAAATCTTCATTGACATTGGGGTATTTCATCAGAAAGGACTGTTGTGGCCGCCCAAATCTCACACTTAATATGTATAAAGAATACTTCTTGTGAGATTTGGGTGTCACAACATTCCCTTCCGATAACTTGTGTTCTTGTGAGATTTGGGTGTCACAACATTCCCTTCCGATAACTTGTGTGTTGATATCTGTTCAAGCCCCAAGGATTAATCTGGATTAATCTGGGACCAAAAAAAACAAAAAAAAACAAAAAAAACAAAAAAAAAAAACAATGTTTTCAGGACTACTTGGATCAGGGCTATCTTTAGACTAGTCTCCAAAACATTGGTTTTTTTGTTTTTTTTGGTTTTTTTGGTTTTTTTGGTCCCAGATTAATCCAGATTAATCCAAGCTAATCTACGATCATCAGATCTATTTAACATTTAAGTACTAACATGTGGTTGGCTAATTTTCTATATTCTCTGGTCATCTGCCTTTATTGGCTTTTAGCGCCGCTCTCTCTGTGTCTGGACTCCTGAAGCAAGTTAATCTAAGATCATCAGATCTATTTAACTACTACTTTCTAACATATGGTTGGCTAATTTTCTATATTCCCTAGTCATCTGCCTTTATTGGCTTTTAGCGTCGCTCTCTCTGTGTCTGGACTCCTGAAGCTATGGCATGTGGTTGGCTAATTTTCTATATTCTCTGGTCATCTGCCTTTATTGGCTTTTAGCGCCGCTCTCTCTGTGTCTGGACTACTGAAGCAAGTTAATCTAAGATCATCAGATCTATTTAACTACTAATTTCCAACATGTGGTTAGCTAATTTTCTATATTCCCTGCTCATCCATCAAATATAGGCCATGTCGTTTGAATCCACAAGTAAGCATTAGCACATGGAAGTTTCCTCAAGTAAGGATCCATCAAATATATACCATATTGTTTGAATCCACAAGTAAAGATTGGCACATAGAAGTTTCTTCAATTAAGGATCCATCAAGTGACCCTCCAAACAAAGCCTGAGTACTTTATGCCAGGCGCAGGTTCATGTAAAGATCATATCATTGTCTTTTTACCATTTTGGGACCAAGCATCCATAACATTTGAAACATGCTTCTTTGTTGCAGGCAAAAACCTGGGGATACTTGAAACAGTTTTGGATTTTCCATATACATTTTTCCAATAGTAGCTAGCACTTCAATCTCTATATGTTCACTGACAGTTTCCTCCAAAGATTCTTACTTGAGATTTACATGTGATGCTCTTGGATCTGTACAAATGCTTACTTGTGAATACAAAGAAGTTTATTGTTTTGTTTAAAACCTCTTGACTTGAGATTTACATGTGATGTTCTTGGACCTGTACAGATGTTTACTTGTGAACACAAACAGAAACTTGTATTGTCCTGCCTAAAACATCCTTACTTGAGATTTACATGTGATGTTCTTGGATTTTTGTGGTATATTAGAGCATCTTTACTTGAGATTTACATGTGTAGGGGATGATCCTGGGCCTGTACAGATGTTTCCTTGTGAGCCAAAAGAATCTTTTATGGTTCCTTGAAACCTCTTTACTTGAGATTTACATATGATGATCTTGGATCTTTAGAGATGCTTACTTACTTGTGAACAGAAATAACCTTTTATGATTCTTCAAATCATTTTTGTAAACAAGTGCACTGGGCCTTTGCACTTGCAATTGTTTCAAAGTTTTGGGAAAGGAAACAAGTTGCTGGCATTGCCAGTTTTGATTGCATCACACTATGAATTTTATATGTCCATATTGGTGTCCAAAGGTTTGGGAATCAGTGGAATCAAGTCCAAATGTATAATCAAAATCCTTAAAAACCACATGTCAGCCCTTGAATTTTCATATAAATTTTATATGAAGTTTATATGCAGTTTATATGCAGTTTATATGCAGTTTATATGCAGTTTCAAAACTACATGTAGTTTATATGCAGTTGTGACCAAACTACATGTAGTTTATATGCAGTTTTGAAAACTGCATATAAACTGCATATAAACTACATATAAACTGCATATAAACTGCATACCAAAAATCTACAGATTTTGAATGATTTTGACATGCCTGGAAAGCTGAAAGCTTGAGATTTTGAACTGCTGCTGCAAGAAAATTTGTGATTTTCAAGGATGACAACTTAGAAAGAAAAAGTATATATACACATGCAAGACCTTTTAGGCAGACCACTAACTGAACCAAAGATACTTTGATGAAATGAACCTGAGGGCCATTGCTGCTAAAGTTTCAGATCCTTTTCAAAACTTGGTAAAGGCTGCAAATAATGTTTCTCACGAAATAATTTCATATGTGTCCCATGACATTTGTCAAGACTGCCTGGAACTTACCAAATAAAATTGCAAGACATTTGGCTAAACAATGGTTCAAGAGTTATTCATGACTTTTTTGTGTAGGTTTCCCAGTGAAATAGTTCATGGTTAATTAAAAACTTGACAACAATAGTTAAAAAAGAGGCGGCCACAACAGTCCCCTCCCTATTTCATATGAAACACCAAGGTCTGGCAAAAAAACTCACACGGCTACCGTGGCCCAGCGTGGCATCCATTTAAGGGAGCATCACCATGTAGGAATCAACATCTGACTGAATCCGACTTACCGAAAAACTGGGCCGATTTACTCTACATGTGCTTGAAAAAAGAAACCCAGACCAATTCCCCAACAATCTTTATCCAGAGAACTACATTGCATGATGATGCATGATGATGCATGTTGCTTCCGTGCATGTGACATTTTCTCTACACAGTATTTTTGACATCCATATCCTGATCCCACATACTATGAGCCGAACATTCCCCAGTTGGACCTTGGCTTCTCAGGTCTTTGATTCCCGGCCCCTGCCAGATTGACTGTCATGGTTTGGTCTTTGTCGCTTCCACTGAAGGACATGTACCTGGGGCCAGACTTAAAAGTTGGAGCCTGTAAATATCTCCAAAATCCGCCACTTGATAGCACTTGACAGTCTATGATATTGGTTGTCGATACTTGAAGTAGGGTGAAGCTATCCTGTCGGGTGCTCCCTTGTGCTCAGTCAAATCCTTGGCGCAATCGTGGGGTTTTCGACGTCGGGCTTTACTCCTGGTACCCATTGTAGATTCAAGTTCAGTGATTTGCATGTGGATGTACATCTCTAGAGATTGTCTGCAATGGATTGTTGCAGATTGATTGTATACTAAGTATGTATGAGTAACATAGAGACAGCAGTACTACACACCAAGACCTGGTTTTCTGTACACCAGATCCAATGCGATTCCGTCGCAATCTCCATGGTGGTCCTCTTTTGGGAATAAACACAGTTGGCTCAATGTTTTCAAGGAAATGTTGGTTGTCAGCAGGTTGAAACCCTCCATTTTCTCCCGAAAAGAAAAAGAGATTGTGTGATCAACAAGCCTATAAATCAAACACTATTGGGAAATATTAACCATAGATAATCCATATTTAACCATATATGGTCCATATTAACCATACATAATCCTGATCTAACCATATCTATCTATCTATCTATCTATCTATCTATATATATATATAATCCATATATTAACCATATATTTAACCATGTGAGCGGTTGCCGAAACCCCGATGATTTGTGTTCTATTCTGTCTTCCCTTTCGCCATCTCTTTCGCGAACCTTTCGCGGAAAATCCTGAAAAGAATCCCCTGTGTTCCCTGGCAAACAAACATTTGTTCCCCACCTGCCATGTGAGAGTCTCTAGATTTTATAAGAGCTGCATGCCGCCCATCGCCTCTTCTTCTTCCTCCTCCTCCATGATTTTGAGCCTTGAAAGTCTCTTTCACGAGCTTTCGCGGAAGCAAATCTTCGCAAAAGCTTTCGCGGATCTTTCGCGAACGTGGTTTTACCTTTCTCGGAGCCATCTTACTTTAACAGCCCTTTAAATCTCCACAGGGAGGTTTTGGCGGCTGCTCATGTATATATATATATATTATGGATAAAATCTAGCATGATATTAGCACAATGGAAAGCTCTTCGCCCTGCGCACTGCGACGGGGTGTTGTCAGACGTCGCATCCACTTGGGCAATGTAGGACCGTGCCGCCTGGCTAAAATGGTGGACACCTTCAGGAAAAAAATGGCTAGAACAGTTGGAAAATCATGGAAATTCTCCAGATTGTAGATGATCAACCATGTTGAAAAAAAACATTCCAACAAAAAATAACTGCAATAATTCGTCACCAAAAAAGCGTCCCTTGCTGAATCATCTGTAAGTGGTTGTGGACTAATCGAATACATTGAGATGACACAATGAATTGGAAGCTGAATCATCCATCAATCCATCACCTTGCCCATCGTTGGAATTGTGCAGCGGTCCTAAGATTCGCAGGTACCATCATATTCGACTTTAGATACCCTGCAAACAGAGTTGAATTCTCCCTGTCAATGATGTTCTCATATATCACCCCAGTTCTAGGAAGTACAGTAGACAAGAGTACATCTATAATTACATCTATAGTTACATAATTATTTATGTATTAATATATATATATGTTCACCAAAGAAGCAGTCGCTTTCCCAGCTGCTACGGGGGACCTCCCTGGCACTGGCTGGGAACACCCCACCGCTTGGCACCTGCTTACTGCTTGGGCCCGTGACCAAGGTCAGTGAGTAGCGTTCCTTCTGACACTGGCTATCCATCTGGCCGCGCAAGCGCGATGGGGACCCCAGGGGACCCCTGGTTTGTGGCATAGGTTTAAAAGGTGCAACACAAATCTCAGGGTGTCTACATGCCAAGACGTGTATGTATCGGCATGGAGTTACATATTTGAGTATGTATATATGTATATACACATTGTAAATATACGTACATATATATATACATAAATATATATATATAGATAGATAGATAGATAGATAGATAGATATAGATCATCACATATCCTGTATGGATCACTTGAAGCACCCTGAACCAACTGGGCCACGCGTAGATAACTCAAGAACCCTAATTTTGGGGGCTCAAAATCACTGAGATGCAGGGATAGAGGATGCGAACCCTCGGGACAAAGGCTTCTTTGATCAGTCCTAGACTCTTCATAACGACAGGAAAGCCATATGTTTTCCACCAAAAAAATAACTAAAGTGGTTCTTCCAAATTCTCGGGGAGCTATTTTCAGTTGTTCAAATTTCCCCAAGGTCTTTTTTCCACCAGATTCTCCCAACGCCAGGGCCATTCTCCGATGTTTTTTGGGCTTCCGCCTGGCTTTGAAAGTCCAAGGGCTTGGCTGCGTCGTAGCCTGGCGAAAAGTTGGGTAGATATATCAATGATATATATATATACAGAATCCACAGTTAGTGGGGCTTATGACTTAACATACCTGGCATACCTGGCGTCTGTGATTCCGATAGTTTTGAAATTCATATTTTAAACATATTTTAGCAATGTACGTCTGAGACAACTGTGCAGCATCTATGGTAGGGTTGAGGGCCGATACTCCGAGAACCGCGCTGAACTGTTCCATCAGCGTCCTCTGCAAAGCTCCCTGTCCTTGGTGTGGCGACTGAGATCATGTTGTTGGTACCCTCTGGTTATTTAACATAGCCATGGGAAATGACCCATTTATAGATGGTTTACCTATCAATAGCATGGTGATTTTCCATGGCTATGTTAGTCATAACCAGATGGTAGCCATTCAATAATTCTCATGAAATCCCCGTAGCAAATAGCCCTAGCTTGCAAATGCTAATGCCAAAATCATCATCCCATGATATCCCATGGGTAACCTGGTGAATACCCTCTGGTAAACTAACATAGCTATTGAAAATGGCCATTTATAGTGGATTTACCCATTAAAAATGGTGATTTTCCATAGTTATGTTAGTTTACCAGAGGGTATATCCCTGTTGCATGGCCATTTGATCGCCCAGCGGCCGTCCACCACCTCCCGATCAAAGGACATGATGTTCACCACCGCCTCGCTCAGTGCAAATCCCGCCGGCGGGCGAATGGTTGTACCCGTTCGGTTAAGACGGGATATGGATTAAAGATGATTAAAGATATGTGTATTTCCCAAATAAGATGATATGACATGGATATCTCCAGCAAAGAATAAATTATGGGTTATACAGTTATACCACAACAAATATTAATGATAACAATACTAAAATGGCTCCAATCCACAAATGTTGGGGCTGTAAGCAACAAAATGATAATGACAACATCCGGAAAGGGATCATACAGTGTGACTCGTAACCAATATAGAACAGTCAGCTGGGTTGTCACCAAGAATAAACATCAATAAATATCAATAAACATAAATAAATTAGCCATCAAGTGGTCCTGAAACCAGAAACCATGTTAGATTGAGTATAATGAGGATATCAATGAGATGACGATGATTGTATAACCAACCAAAATTGGATATGACCAAACAAGTCAAATTTTTATGGCGAGTATTTCATATGGAAAACTCCCCTTTTCTCGGGCGGGGCGTTTAGGTGCTTTTTGTAAAAATTGGCGACTCATCATTTTCATCATCTCATGGGGGTCCAACAGTAGCTGATTCAGCGACCCAAACTTTTTCAAAGCCCCTTCGGAGGACGACGTACCAAAGATTTTCATATTGATCTTTGCAAGATTCACTGGATTGGTGGGAAAATCCCTAGGAAACCATGGTTTTTTCCCCATGAAATACAGTGAAATATTGGGCCACAAGCAAATAGCTTTTCAAAGCTCCGTGAAGGGGATCGTGTCGATGTCCAAATTGGAGGTATCCAGCATGTCATACTGTGTATATATATATGTGTGTGTGCGTGTGTATTGTGCAATTCCGGCATAGCTGAAGGAAAATATAACCCTAGACAGCACAGTACATTCCAATTTGGTCCATGTCAATGTCATGAATCCACTCCATGCGGAGCTTCGGGCTCCTAAATTCTACCTCACAATCATGGAAAAACCGCATGTTGGACAACAGTCGTCCCAAATGTTGGACAAGAGACCAGAAAACCTGCAGAGCCGCACCCTCCGCGCCTTCCCGGAGTACATATTGCTCTCAAAGGGGCTAGGGAAGTTTCCTTGGTGCCGATCCAAGCATCAAACAACAACGCCATCGCTTCAGCCCGGTGGATTTTTCCGTAGGCCCCCGAACCCAGGGAGGGATCCAGTCCCATGATGCCACCATAGAGAGTCACCTGAGGCCAGTGGAGGGATCACCCAAGAAGTATGTAAGTTGTGGGTAGAGGTCGTAGAGGCCACAAAGTCAACCGACGTTTCTATCAAATTTTGTTAAATGTTATCTACTTGTGCGGGTATTCTACCCAATTCTAGTAGCCCATTTTTACTGTATTTGTTCTCGCTGGCGTTAAGATTCAGCTGACATCAACTTCCAGGATCATAAACTGCTTGGGGTCCACCAAGATATGCCCCAGCGATCAAACATATACCCTCAATGTCATGCAAATGTCAAATCCAATCATCATTCCTCAAGTCCGCCGGTTCCAAGGTCAACAAAGATTCATGCCACGCCGCCAAGCAAGCGGACAATTCCACAGCCAGATTTGGATTGAAGAAACTCCAGTTCGTCCACTCTCAGGGGTGCCAAAAAATCTTGAGACCACCAGACCAAACAGGTGTTTTGGTTGTATATAGTCCCAAATTCATCATGGTTGAATCATCTAAAATCCCATTGGGATGGAAACACCATATCTTGTTGGTAAACCCTTCATGTCAACCTTCTGAGTCCCGAGCAGACCCCGGGTGACCCACGTACTTTATGGTCTCGATCGGCGTGATTGCCTTGGCGATGACACTTCCAGAGTCGGGAATTCTTTCTGGATCTACGCATGATATCAGACCATCCAGTATCTTTCAATGTCACGGTATTTTGTTTTTTCTCGGTAGGAAACCATCCCCTATGTCTCTCAATGTTGGAGGTTCATGTCAAGAAGTTGCATCAAATATCATCAAACCATCTCATTTTGAGGGTTAGTGAGTTGGAACCGTAGTATGGGTAGCGGTGAAGCATGGTGAAGCTCCGGCACCATCCAATGCTTGAGTACAGGCAAGACCATCCGAAATTTAGACTTTCGTATACATATATATATATATATGTGCTTGCATGTGCATACGTATATATTTGTAATTATATATATATACATACTCATACATAAAATATGCCTGAAAGATATTCAAACAACCTCCAAGATCGTCCAACAGAAGCCGAACCAGGACGCCGGACGCCACCGTCGGGCAGAGTCTGGCTGGCAAAAGCAAAGGCACTGGTCGTGGACACGGTGCCAACTTTGAACCTTGGCCGTTGCGCTTCAACCAGGGAGGGGAATACGTGTGTTTCTATGAAGATAGATGTTTGTGCCATCGTATATACAATTATGTGTATATATATATATATATTACACGTATATCATGTGTCATGTCTGAACTTCAATATAGAGATTGAGTGATATATATATATATATGTATACAACGTGTGTATATATATATACTTATATTATATTTATTTATTTATTTATTTATCTATATCTGTCTATCTATCTATCTATCTATCTATCTCTATCTCTATCTCTATCTCTATCTCTATCTATCTATCTATCTATCTATCTATCTATTTATCTAGCTAGCTATCTATCTATCTATCTATCTATCTATCTGTTCATTTATTTATTGATTATTTATATTGCTTTGTGTATGTCTATTTAAATATATATATATATATGTGTATATCTCTGTGTGTGTGCCTGAGACTCTAAAATAACACGTGTCTTGAAGGAATTTCCCAATGCAAAGCGAGCATACCAGGCATGAGGGGCTAGGAAAATGGACAGAAACTTGTTGATGTGTACTTCTGTGGACCTATGGAAGCCGGCTTTTCTCAATCCGCCAGGAGGATTTTTGAAACATGCCAATGCACGAATGCTTTGATGAATGTATACTGTATATAATAAATATACAAGTTAGATAATAAAATATATATATATTAAAATAAGATGAAATAAACATGCCACAGTCGTTCCATCTATGGAGCGTGCTTTGACTCACAAATGATCAGGCTTATCTATGCGGGAAAGGGTTGAAATATGTTTGAAGTTGCTCTTGGCGACCAGATCCCAAGGTCCTCACGTCTTTGTTCAACCAAGTGACATGACAATTCTCATGATACATGAAGATCCAATCCATCAAACATCCCCCTCACTGGCACCTTTGCAACTGGGATGATCGAAGTTAGTAAAGTCTTATGATCCTTGCAACATCTTGCAACTGGAATAGCCATGAAAATGTACCCTAGCTACAACCAACTGACATCCCGACCAGCTGGAAGGGCTTTGCGGGTTCGAATTGCAGTAGCCTTTGCAACTGACCAGTGGCACAGTGGGCTGGTGCTCAAATCAACGGCCAGGAGAAAGAAAGCCGTCAAGAAGTTGGGAGAGTTGACTTTTCCAGTTTCAATGGAACGGTATTACTGTCATTTCATGAGTAATCTATGATCATTAGTATCATCATTTGAGTTGACAATGGTATCCATCAATGAGACTTGACTTTTCCAATTTCAATGCCTTTCAGAAACGCTTCGCAATACCCTCTGGTAATTTAACATAACTATGGAAAATCACCATTTTGTAGCTGGGTAAATCCACTATTTCTATGGCCATGTTCAATAGCTTTTTGTTAGTTTACCGGAGGG